CGACGACCGACGACGACGACCACCCAGGGTCAGAGAAAACGAGACCACGACCCAGGGGCTGAGAAAACGAGGAAACCAAACAAGGTCCCAGGGGCAGAGAAAACGAGAAAATGAGACAACGAACCAGGTTACAAAAGAACCAGGGTCCGAGAAAACGAGACCACGACCCAGGGGCAGAGAAAACGCGAAAACGAACCACCGTCCGATAAAACACGACCACGACCCAAGGGCCGACAAAACGAGACAACGAGAAAACAAACCAATGCCCGAGAAAACGGAGCCACGACCCAGGGGCCGAGAAAACGAGACAACGAGAAAACGAACCAGAGCCCGAGAAAGCGAGAACACGACCCAAGGGCCGAGAAAACGAGAGAACGAGAAAAACAACCAGGGCCAGAGAAAACGAAACAAAAACCCAGAAGCCGAGAAAACGAGACAATGAACCAGGGTCCGGGAAAACGAGAGAACGACCCAAGGGCCGAGACAACGAGAAAACGAGAAAACCAACCAGCGCCCCAGAAAACGAGACCACGACTCAGGCCGAGAAAACGCCAATCTCGCCCCCAGAAAACGAGACCACGACCCAGGGGCAGAGAAAGCGAGAAAACGATAAAAGGAATCAAGGCCCGAGAAAACGAGACTACGAACCAGGAGCCGGTAAAACTAGAAAACGAGAAAACAAACCAGCGCCCGAGAAAACTGAACCACAGCCCAGGGGCAGAGAAAAAAAGAAAACCAGAAAACTAACCAAGGTCCGGGAAAACTGGACCACGACCGTGGGGCCGAGAAAACACGAAACGAGAACACGAACCAGGGTCAGAGAAAACGAGACGACGACCCAGGGGCAGAGGAAACGAGAAAACGAGAAAACTAACCAGGGTCAGAGAAAACGAGACGACGACCCAGGGGCAGAGAAAACGAGAAAGCGAGAAAACTAACCAGGGTCAGAGAAAACGAGACCGCGACCCAAGGCAGAGAAAACGAGAAATCGAGAAAACGGACCATGGCCCGAGAAAACCAAATCACGGCCCAGGGACAGAGAGAACGAGAAAACGAACCAAAGCCCGAGCACACGAAACCACGACCCAGGAGCCGAGAAAACGAGAAAACGAGAAAACGAAACGGGGTCCGAGAAAACGAGACCACGACCCAGGGGCAGAGAAAACGCGAAAACGATGAAACAAACCAGGGTCCGACAAAACTGGGCCACGACAATGGGGCCGAGAAACCAAGAAAGCGAGAAAACTAACCAGGGTCCGAGAAAACAAAACCACGACCCAGGATACTATAAAACAAAAAAAAGAACGAATCAGGGTCAGGTAAAACAAGACCACGACCCAGGGGCCGAAAAAACGAGAAAACAAGACAAGGAACCAGGGGCCGAGGAAACGAAACCAAAACCCAGGGGCAGAGAAAACGAGATAACGAACCGGGGCCCGAAAAACCGAGACCACGACCCGGGGGCCGAGTCAACGATAAAACAAAAAACCAAACAATGCCTGAGAAAACGAGACCACAATCCAGAGGCCGGGAAACGGAGAACACGAGAAACCGAACCAGGTTCCGAGAAAACAAAACCACGACCCAGGGGCCGAGAACACAAACAACTAACCAGGGTCAGAGAAAACGAGACCACGACCCAGGGGCCGAGAAAATGAAAAAACGAGACAACTAACAAGGGACCGAGGAAAAATGGCACCACGACCCAGGGGCCGAGAAAACAAGAAAACGAGATCACGAACCAGGGCCCGAAAAAGCAACACAAGCCGAGAAAACTAGAAAACGAAAAACGAACAGGGGCCCGAGAAACCGAGACCACGACCCAGGGGCCGAGAAAACGAGACAACGAGACAACCAACCAGCGCCCGAGAAAACGAGACCACGACCCAGGGGCAGAGAAAACGAGAAAGCGAACCAGGGTCCGAGAAAACACGACCACGACCCAGGGGCCGAGAAAACGAGAAAACGATAAAAAGGAGTCAGGGCCCGAGAAAGCGAGACTACGAACCAGGGGCCGAGAAAACAAGAAAACGAAAAAACTAACCAGGGTCAGAGAAAACGAGACCACGGCCCAGGGGCCGAAAAAACGATAAATTGAGAAAACGAACCAGGCCCCGAGAAAACGAGACCACGACCCAGGGGCCGAGGAAATCAGAAAACGCGAAAACGACCCACGACCAGGGGCCGAGAAAACGAGAAAACGAACCAGGGTCCGAGGAAACCACGACCCAAGGGCCGAGACCACCAGAAAACGAATGGCTCGAGAAAACAAGACCACGACCCAGGAGCCGAGAAAACGAGGACAACGAGAAAACGAAGCAGGGTCAGAGAACACGAGACCACCACCCAGAGGCCGAGACAACGAGGAAACGAGAATACTAACCAGCGTCCGAGTATACAAAACCACGACCCAGGGGCAGAAAAAAAAAACAAAAACCAGAAAACGACCCGAGAAAACGAGAAAACGAAAACACGAAACAGGTTCAGAGTAAACGAGACCGCGACCCAGAAGCCGAAAACACGAGAAAATAAGAAAACGAACCAGGGACCGAGAAAACAAGAAAACGATAAAAGGAATCAAGAGCCGAGAGAACGAGACTACGAACCAGGGGCCGAGAAAACAGTAAAACAAGAAAACGAACCAGGGGCCGACGTTATTCTCCAATGCGTTCTCTAGCGCTGCGGTGCGCACCTGTCGTCAGGGATTCCGCCATTTTGCCAGAGCCCCAGAAGAGAAGGGGGGGGTGGGGGGCGTAGCTTCGGAAGCCCCCCCCAAAGGAGGGGGGAGGGGAATAGCTTGAAGCCGCCCCCCACTGTGCCCAGACCAAAACAGGAAGGAGGGGGGGGGGTAGCTTCAAAAGCCCCCCCACCTTTGAAAGGAAAGCCCGGGCTCACCTTCTGCTCCGGAAAAGGGAGGGAGGGGGGGGAGCTTCGAAGCCCGGGCTCACCTTCTGCTCCGGAAAAGGGAGGGAGGGGGGGGCCAGCTTCGAAGCCCCCCCCCCTTAGCCAGGGCCCCCCTAGCTTAGAAACCCTTACAGAAGGGAGGGGTGGGGTAGCTTCGGAAGCTCCCCCCCCCTTTTGGAAGGGAAGGGGGGGAGGTAGCTTGAAGCCGTGGTCTCCCTGTGTCCAAACCAAAAGAAGGGAGGAGGGGGGTAACTTCCGACCCCCCCCCCCTTGAAAGGGAAGCCCGGGCTAACCTTCTGCTCCGGAAACGGAAGGGGGGGTGGGGGTAGCTTCGAAGCACCCCCACCCTTTTGCCTGGGCCCCCCTAGCTTAGAAACCCTTGCAGAAGGGAAGGGGGGTAGCTTCGGACCCCCCCCTCCCTTTTGGAAGGGAGGGGGGGGGTAGCTTGAAGCTGGGGCCCTCCTTTTCGTATTCCCGGCGCTGCGGGCGCGCTCTTTCGTATGTATGTTGGTGATTGTTGTTCGGGCTGCAGTGCGTCAACAAGTGTCGGCGCTGATGTAAGAGATTGGTGATATTTGATGTTGACGGAATGGTATGGTCGACGTCTGGTGCGTCGGTTGGGCTGCATATGTGTTGTAGCAGTTGTGCCGCATCGTGAACTCGCACGGCCCAATCGTACCTGACGTTGTCTTCGTGGTCGTGACGAGAGTACAACCGTTGCGAGACCATGAGCGTGGCCTGCTTGGAGATGTCGTTGATTCTTGTAGTCGGCGCCCGTATTCGGGAACCAAGATGTCCGTTAGTGATGTTGACTGCTATTATGAAGCCCCGGTTCGAGTGGTAGTAGTCGGCAAAGTCGTTCATGTAGTTTCCCAGCGGCTGTCGTGGGTGGTTGGGTAGACGTGGTCGCCATGCCTGTAGGTGGTGGGCTGCTAGCGATGCGCCGCTGAGCTTTCGGTACTTGGCTTGCTCAATAGGAAGCATTCTGAATTTGGAGAGTATTGTCGCATGTGGATCGGGATCGGCTTAAGCGGTGGGTGGGGTTGGGTTCGTTGAAGGTGGTTGCTGATGAAAGAGTCGTGGTTGAATCTATCAGAGTAGATGTACCATCGTGGTAGCAGTAGGCAGTCGTTTGGAAAGCGGTAGGTGTATGTGTTGTTTGCAGCGTTGTTGTAGACTGCGTAATGCCAAAGGTCTTTGTCATAGTCGTTTTGGTCACTTCTGTCTTTGGAACTGTATGCTGTCCACCCTGCAGGCCAGTGCATCTCGTGGCTCTCGTGTCTTCCTCCTCCTCCTCCTCCTCCTCCTCCTCCTCCTCCTCCTCCCCTTCCTCCTCCTCCTCCTCCTCCTCCTCCTCCTCCTCCACCTCGTCCTCCTCGTCCTCGTCCTCCCTCCCCCCTCGTCCCTCTACCTCGTCGTCGTCCTCGTCCTCGTCCTCCTCCCTCCTCCTCCTCCCTCCTCCTGCTCCTCCTCCTCCTCCTCCTTCTCCCTCCTCTTCCTCCTCCTCCTCCTCCTCCTCCTTTTCCTCCTCCTCCCTCATCCCTCCCTCCCTCCGTTGTTCCACCCCTCCTTCCCTCCCTCCCCCATTCTCCCTCCCTCACCCCTCCGCTTCTTCGCTTCCTTGCGAGCTGAAGTTCCGTCGGAAGCGACCCTTCGCACCAGGAGAACGTTTGCGCTATGCGGGTCCTGGAGAATCCCTCCAGTCGTCGCCAGCTGGTGGGAGCTTGTTCTTAAAAGCAACAGGTAGAAGGTAGACGGCGGTGACAGCAGACAAAACAATAACTATATATATAGAGAGTGAGAGAGAGAGAGAAATAACAAAAACAAACATAACAAGCATAACACAACGGAGGCGGCGGCTCCTTCGCCTACGACTTTGCGCCGGGCCCTCCGCTCGATGATTGGCCCCCCCCCCCCCGGACGACGTGCCACCCGTCCCTGGAGGGGGGAGGGGCGCCACTGGCGACGCCGTCGCCCGAGAGCACATCACCAAGGCTGATAAGAAGCACGGTAACCGAAGCCAAATCGCACGCCATGCACATGGGGAGAAGAACGTTTACTCCCAGGAGTCGATTGTCTCTGATCCCTCGCAGGTCCTCTGGGGCGTCGATTTCGATTCCGACGCCCGCCCGGAGCTTCTCCGCGCGGTCGACCACAGGCCGTCCCCCATCCACCTCCATGCCCGTCTTGAAGTTGAGCCCGTCGAGCTGTTCCAGCAGCGTGCAGTAGGTGGTCGGGCCCCACTCGGCCCCCCCCCGCGCGGCGTGCACGGCCGAGATAAAGCCCGATCCTCGTGCGAGGGCCGCGTTCGAACCACGACTCGGGCGGCGGCGAGCATCTCGCGGCCGACCCGAAGGGAACGAAAAGGGAAACGAACGGTTTATCGAACTTCCTCTGTCACCCTCGTCTGCGCATGATGACGCAAGCAGAAATACGGCACCTCGGAGACCCAGCGGGGGGCTGGTAGTGGAGCTGTCATCAGGAGCGTCCTCGCACCATCCAGGACAATGCCGCTTGCCCCCTCGGCCAATGAGTTTTGCCTCTCGCTGGCAGGTCGAATGGGGTCATGAGCGGTCACTGACTCGCCCAGCTGGCCCACGTTCAGGGACTTGCACGCTCGCCTGAGTTCAGGCATCAACATATACGTCCGCAATAGCATGTGCCCGAAGATTGACGAAGAAACCGACCGCGTGCTTCGCCGACGTGCCGCGAGAGCCCTGTCTAGCCAGAAAGTTGGTGAACGGGTCGCGTGCAGTCGAGCGCGAGGTTTCCCCGCGGGGCGCCCATCGAGATCGCATCAGCCGCGAACTAGCGGCCCACGGCACGCAGGCCCACGAACTTTTGGTCGGCTAGGAGTGCGGCTGAAGCTGTTCGAAGGCCAAGTTATAAGTATTATTATCGTGCTGTGCCCGTAACGTATCCGCCCACTTAAACGTTGTGCAATGCGGACTATTGGGCGAGCGCGACAGCAAGCGCTGCCGAGAGACAGCCTCGCGCTTGAAGCGATCTGTCTCCGAGGCACCCCCAAGCAGATATTCTTCATCCGGGTCATCGGGCCTGTCGTCGTCGACGATTTCAGCAGGCCCCGGGTCGAACAGCTCATCGACCAGGATGATCGCGGGGTCGCCGGGGGCAGGTGCAGCCGTTTCGACCAGCAACGCAGCTGCCCCGACCCCCCTCGCCCGCCGGCAGCCGCGCGCGACGCAGTCGCGCGACGGCTCCGTTGCGTCGGGGCGAGATGCCACGTGGCACGTTTCCGCTCCAGCCCAGCCCAGGTTCGCAGCCTGCTGGGGCTCATCGTAGAAACAGGTGATCGTATCCATTCCATGCAACTGCAGCCTCAGGGGTGCAGACGCTGTGAGCATCAATGAAAGAATCCTCCATCGCGCCGCGCTTGAAGCGCCTTCGGCGATCATCTGTTGCGAGCGCAGCTCGAGAGTCGCGCGGTCTCTCGCTGCCTGGAAAGGTAGACCTCCCACTTGCCCAGGGTCAGCCACATCGGACTTCGTGTCGATCGCCGCGCAAGCCCACCGCCCATGCCGCCCCTGGGAGAGCGGGCGCTGCACCGTCTACTCGACCCGAGGCCTCTCTGCCTGCCACGGCGCGGTAAGGGGTCTTCCCGTCGACAGCAAGATCCCCCCGCGCCCCAGCAGGCAGTTGTAGATATGGGACTCCGCCGGCTCCCCAGCGGCAACTTTAGCGGCGCTCTATGCAGAGATCACCTCCGGATTGCAGGGGCTTAACGCAGGCTCCCCCGACGGCGCCGAGGGCCCGCGATTGCCCGCTGGCCGCGTTAAGATGATCGGGGGAGTCAAGGGCGGCATCCTTTCCATCCAACCTACTTCTTAGAAAACATTGTCCGTGACAAGGTTGGCCCTGCGCCCAGTGTCGATGATGGGCCGTCTGTCCGATCTCGATGGGGTCGGCCCCCTTTTCTCGGCTTCGCTCTCCCAGCGAGCGCGGCATCGCAGCTGCCCTCGCACTGGTCATCATAGTCTGGTGGGTGCCATGTCCATGGGCACTCTCACAATCCTGCCATTGAATTAAAGATGTGGTTAAAACAGAAAGATCAGTTAGCCATCTGGTAAGTATATCCATTAATCTGCTTCCACAATAACATGCCTCATGGCCACTCTCGGATCCCTGTTCCAAGCCAATCCATGAGTGCTGGACTTCTCGTTCGACGGCGGCGGCCTCGCCGCGTGCGAGCTGTTGGCGCACTTTGACCCTGCGTTCCCTGGCGCTGGCCTGCCCAGAAGGAAAACCAGAACGATGACCCGCTGCACTCGGCACCTTGCGCCGACCCCCTCGAGGGGCCCTGAGAGTCCAAGTGGCTGGGCGCGGGGTTGCGGGGCCAATGCGCGCCATCTTTCGTTGCGTCGCATAGCGACGCTCGCGGCCGCTGTCGCCGCGGCCGCCCGCGACGCCTTCAATCAACGGCGTCAGCGGGGGGCGCGGGAACGCCGCTAGCCCGGGCGCGCCTGGGGCGCCGCGCAAAAGCCGCATCGGCATCGGCAACTTCGCACCGCGAAGCGGCGCGATTCGCAGCTGGGGCAGCCGGGCCAGGGCTTCAATTGTCAAAAACGTGCGAATGATGTTGGTGGCTGTTTTCGGTGAAGCTGTCATCGGGGACAACCCGGAATCCTATCGGCAACGCGCGGAGCCCTGGCGCGGCGCGACAGACTGAGGGGGCAGCAAGCCCCGCCCCCGCCAAATCACTGGGGGACAAGGACATGCCCCCCCCCCCTGCCCCGACCGACGCCGACGACATAGTCGCCCAACGCTGGTTCTCGGCATCGCGGATGCCGCGGAGGATCGCGCGACCCCGACAGCTCGCGCCGAAGGGGCGCGTCTGTCCAGTTAGGCGTCTCCAGGGCCGCCTGTGTTCCTTGCCTTTGCCCGTCCCCGCGCCGCCCTCGCCCTCGTCGTCGCCCGACCCTCCGGGGGCCTCGTTCTCGGCGACATTTTTGGCGACGGCATGTATCTGACCAGCGCTCCGCTCACAATGATTGGTTTGCCGGCCTTCTCGGGGGTGGCCTCGCGCTTGCCCCTGGGCGCGTTGTCCACCCCCTTGGCTTTCCCGCGTTGGGGGCGATTTCCCAGGGGGGGGGGGCGCGCGCCGCGACTGAGCGCGCGGCGGCGCCCTCCCTTTGCGGAGCCCCAGCAAGGCGCGCGGCTCTGCGACAGCCGTCGCGATTGGCCACCTCCGCCCATATCTTTCCCGCGCAATCGACCGCGCCCCTGATCGTCAAGCCGCGGTCCGATTTGCATTTGGACATTGCCGTTTCGCCCCCCGCCCGGCCCTTCGCCCCCGCCCCCCCGCCCGCGCCGGCCAGCGCAGCCGCGGACTTCTCCAGGGCGTCGTTCGCTCAAGCGGGGGCCCGTTTCTCAGGCCAGCGCGCGCGCTGGCATTGCCCCCGAGAGCACGGGCGTTTCCGCCGCGTGAACTTGCGGCGCTCCTCTGACAGCATGGGGCGGCAATCTACATGCGCGGGGGCCGGGGAGCTTCTGCCACTGCCACCTCCGTCGCCTCCGCCCCCCCCCGCCCCCGCCCGGCGCCCCCCGGGCATTCAATTGTTTTCTCTGGGCGGCGCGGCTGCGAGCGCCGCGGTCGTAACATTGGCCGGCTGGTTTGCCCCAGTAGCCATTCGTGTGACTTCGGGGCTCCCCCGCGAGGATCGTTGCCGCGGTCGCGCGTTACGAGGACCATCGCCATGCAAAAGCACTTCGTCTTCTCGCGATCAGGAACGCCCCCGGGCGGGGGGTCGGAAAGACTTGCGCGGCTGATCCATCTCGCCCATTATCTCCAGCAGCTCGCGGTAGAATCGAAGTAAGTCGGCAGCGGCATCTTCGCCCGAGCCGTGGATCCGAACTCGCTTCAAATACTGGGGCGCGCACGCCTGACCACGGTGCGATCGCATGCGTGACAAAGATGGGTAGAATGGGGCGACCTTTCAGCATCGTCTCCTTCTTCAACATGGCGGTGTCGCAGCGGTCCACTTCGCGTGCCAAGTGTCTGAACCGTGGATAAGTTCGTGGGCCAAACAATCTCATTGATTTTACTCATCAGGTCGGAGGCGACCCGAATCCTCGAGAGAATCCGATTCCACCGTCTAGATATCGAATGCATCAGAAATCCAAACAACGGCGGCTCTTCACTTCGGGAAACGCGATGCAACGCGCGCGATGGCGCCCCTGCTCCACTTTCGGAAGCCGGCCTCGTCAAGAACGGGATATATGGATACATCCTTGATTTTTCCGCGACGCTTTCGCGGCGGGGCCGAGGGCCCCCCCCCCCCGAAGCGGGGGCGCCCCCGTCCCCGCCGGGAGGGCCGCCGGGCAGTCCATCATACCTTTCACGACGCCGCTCTTCATCGTCCTCATCCCCGTCCTCTGATGGGTCGCCAGGTTCACTATCAGAGTCGTCGCCCGTCGAACCACTGCCCCCGCCAGGGTTGTCGACGCCGCCCGGAGGGCCCGATCCTTCCATCGGTCTATCAGGGGGCGGCAGCTCGCCCTCGTCGTCTTCGCCTGTCAAGACGCCGTCGCCCCCCCCTTCGAGCCGAGGAAAGCCCCGGGAAGGTGGCCGCGGGGGTAGCGCTAGAAATCGCATCGTCCGTTTGGTTTCCTCCTTCCGTTGTCTTTCCACTCCCCGAGACAAGGCTCCCTGGGCGGCCTCAGATTCCGCGGGCCGAAGGGCGAGCCCTTTTGCTCTGTCGTCCTTTCTCTTGGCTATCTGCTCGGCGGAGCTCTCCGCTCCCTTCGCCGCCCCAGCGAGCGTCTCTGTCGGTCGCCGGTGCCGTGCCTCTGCCTTGCCCCCCAATGCTTCTAACCTCTTCGCGCCGCCGCTACGGGGCGGCCGCGCCGCTGCCGCCTCCGAGGCGCCCGCGGCGCAGTTGAGGGGGCGCCCCTGGAGGCGGCGGGCAGTCGCTGCCAGGGGGCTGTTTGAGCCGCGATGCGCTCCGCGAGCTGTCGCCTCCGCTTCTTCGTTCTGATGTTTCATCTCAGCTTCTCCCTCGTTCTTGGCGCGGCCCTGGCGGCGCGTCTGGCGCCGCCATTTCCGCGCGCCGAGATGCGGATCGCAGAAGGCCTTGGAAACGCGAGGACAGTCATGCCCGGCCCGCCGCCGGCACGCGCGCAGCGTTGCCCGCCGCCGACCGCCGCCGGGGCGGCCCTCAGCCCACCCCCCCCACATAACATCCTTGGGGGAGGGCGCCGGGCGCATTGCGTCGCCGTTCGCCCTCGCGAGGTGTCGACGCAGTTCTTGCTGCGCGCGATTCGCAGCGCGTTCCCGGTAAAAATGCTCGCGCTGTGATGGCCCAGGCCCTCGTGGTCTGCTCGGTGCTTGCCGCTGCGGTTCGGGCAGCCGTTGGCGCCTCGCGGTCGGCCGGGCTTTTCGCGCGCGCAACTTGACCTTACTACTAACATCTCGTACCTCCGCGGCCGCTCGAAACCTACTTCTTATAAGCTAGCCGCTTCGGCGAGCGCCATCGCCTCGTTCCGGGCCGGGCGTCTGCCATCTGCTTCTCACCCTGTCCACCGTCGCCACGCTCTGCCGAGTGGCGCGATGGGCGGCTGCCTCCGCGGTTGCCTTCTCCGCGAGAGCCTTCAGCAGCGCCTCCTGGGCCTCGTTATTTCACCTTCGCGCTGTTAGCCGCCGTCGCTTCGAGCTCCTGGGCAGCCCTGCGGCGGGCAGCTGTCTGCGCGTCAGCGGCCCCCCCAGATTGCGGACCTGGGCAGCTCTGCCGCGTTCGCCTCGCGATCGCGGGCGCTCCTCTCGCCCGCGACAGACGGCCCCATCCTACTGGCCAGTTCCCTTAGCCGGGTAACTGAATGTCTGTTCTGTGGCCACGGCCTGCTGCCCCATCTCCACATCGGAACTTACTCGAGCCATCTCGGCGCGACCCGAATCGGCCTGGAGGCGCGCGGCGGCTCGCTGCTGAAGTTTTGTCTGAGCGAATCGTTCCCGCGTCTGCGCCAGCTCGCTGTCTCTTTCGTCGATGGCCTCTCAGCGCCTCTTCCCCCCCGCCCCCCCCCCCCCCCCCCCCCCCCCCCCATTCCCACCCTCGCAGCGCCGCGCAGTGAAGAGCGGGCGGGGGGGGGGGGGGGGCAATTTGGCGGGGAAATTTGACGTCGCAGCGCGGGCAACCCGGGGCCTCATGCGTCAGCCCGGTTTCCCGGGCAACGGCTCTCTGGGAACCGAGCGCAATCGGGGCCGAAGTTAGCGCGCGGCCCCTGCGACCTAACGCTCGACGCAGTGGATCTGGCTTTGCGAGCAGAGGACTGGGGCGCGCCCGATGGGGCCCCGTCAACGCGAGTCTTCGCTTGCTGAGCGAACCTTCCCCTCGAGCGAGCCCCGCGGGGCGGGCCAGCGCGCGGCGCCCCAGGCGCGGCCCCCGCCGCGGCCCCGCGCCGCTCGGGGGGGTCGGGAGGCCCGGCGACTCAGGAACGCCATTCCCCTCGCCCCCACGGGCTCGCGCGCGGGGCCCCGTCCATTCGCGATGGCTTCGCTGCAGGGGAGGTCGCCGACAAGTCTATCAGCGGTCGGGGCTGCCCGATGGCTGGCCCGCTCGCGCCATCCTAGCCCATGGCCAGCGGCGTAACTCTCCCGGGAAAGGGAGAATCCTCTCTCTCGAGCCCTGCACCCTCATCCTGGTCGCTGAGCGTCTCGGCGGGCGCCCAGCCGCGCGCCCTCCAATGTCCGCGCCCATGCTCGCAAACCCCGGCGCCAGCTTAATATCATAGATGGTTGGGCCTTCGTCGCAGGCTGGAGCTCCTCGGTCGCCCGAGGGAGACGCAGGGTCGACTTGGCTGACGCGGTGGCCTCCGAAAATGTGGAGATGGCGCCGCCAGGAAAGTCGGAGTGAATTACGTCGGCCTGGTTGGCCCGCCCTCGTTGTGCGGGCCGCGCAGGGGCCGACTGCCGTACACCCCCCTCTCCCGTGACTCGACGGTCCTGTGAAGTATCCGGCCTACCTCCGCGCCGACCCTCCACTGAATCATTGCAATCGGCGGAGTCTGTCTTGCTGAGATTTTGCGGAAGCCCCGCGGTCGCGCCAATGACGCCGTCATCAGACGCGACCGCAAAGGACTCTTCCCAAGGTGCAACTTACCTTGCGCGGCAGGTACGGACCCACCGCCAATTTCATGAACTATAAGTTTGTTGGGGTCCGACGCCTCCCCGTGCGCATTTGGCCCCATCATCCATGAAACTTTCGACACAGTCGCGAAACCTCTTGGGTCCCATTTCGGTTGGTAACAAACAGTTCTCCAGGTTGATCTCACATATGCTGAAGGGGAACCCACAAGCAAAATACTTGCTTATGATCTGGTAACTTGTAGTGTAGTGGTTAAGTTGCTCAACGGAGATCCCCTGCTACGTCTCGGTGATGCGGAACGTGTGGACATGGCTAAACGTGTCCGTTCAGCAAATTGAGCTATGATAAGTTTGCTCATGTTGGAGAGTACCCGGCCCGGGCCAGGTGGAGGGCGCGCGCTTTTCACCTATGAGTACACATAATTTCGACATGTACGTAAGTGGCGGCGCCAACCTTCCACTCTGGATGTTGGCGCAAAAGGTTTAAACATAGCGGAAAGAGCGTTCGTAATGATTCCTTCTCTCGGGCTGGACGAAAGGGGTAGCGAGTCTAGGTCACCCAACTTCGCGCATCACCGCCCACCCTCTTTTACCCCAAGCAATACTGGGGTCGACAGATACACAGGTTAATAAACACCAATTTCAAAATCCTCCATACGTTTCCATGCATTCTAGATGATCTGATTCCCTTCTGTTGCCGATCTGTTCCCACATGCGTTCCAAGATTTCCAAATGTACTTGTGTGTGTGCGTGTGTGTGTGTGTGTGGGTGGGTGGGTGGGTGGGTGGGTGGGTGGGGGGGGGGGGGCGCCTATCTTTGCTTCCTGAAGCAAGGCAGGGGGCGTCGGCTTCCTAGCGCGCCCCGCGGTGCGCGACGCGCGGTCACCTCCTCCGCGTCCTCGCGAGGTCACCTTGGACAAATGCAGCTCTCCGGCCGAGGTCGCGACGCGCGAAGCGCGACTATCTTCGCGCCCCTGGGGGCGCAATACGTAGACGAACCAGCTCATGTAGCTGGATGTTCCTCGCGCTGTCCTCGATGCATGGCCGCCTCGAGGCATCAGGGAATGGGACAGGTCGGCGAGGCCGAAATCTGCCGCATGTGAAACCCAAACCAGCCGCATATAATCTGCCGCATGTAAAATTTAAAGTTCACCCTTTCCCGCCCCCCCCCTTTCGCTGAACCCCGTCCTCCCCCTCGGCCAACCAGCCAATCAGCAAACTAGCCGGCCGGCAGGCCAGGCCGGATGCTTCCATGGCCTCTCCCCCCTACCTTCTGGCCCTCCAGCAGCGGGTTGATGGGCAGGGCGGACTCCTCAGAGGAACAACATCGGCATAAACATCTACTTTGGGAGGTCCGGGCGGATTTCTTGGATCGGCGCTGGACCCGTGGGGCGGCGCCTTCGGCGCCGCGCCTAACGCGCTCCGCACGCATGAGACGGGGTCCGACGCCGACTCAGGAAACCTGCGCGGATCTCCGAAAGACTAAGTATGTTCAGGCCGCTTTCTCCCCTTTTTGGCGGCAAGCCTGGGGAGGAAGTCAAAAGGCAGACCTTCTCAGAAGGCGCCGGGCCTTCTCAAAAGCCCAGCTTCTGCCTCGGGAGAAGGCCGAAAGAGCTTCTCAGAAGGCGGGAGGCCTCCCGAGCCTCCCGAGAAGGCCCGCCCTCTCTGACTCCCCCCCTGGGCGACCCAATTTCCGGGTCATACCTCAGGTGTCCGGCGGCCGCTCGGGACGATGCGGGTACCCCGGAACGCCCTCGGCAGGGCGCAGCCGCTGGGGCCGCGCCGCGAGGCCAGAGAGCCAACGAGGGCCCACGGCAACCCCGAGGACCCCGAAGCTCCTGGCGCGCCATCCGCTCACGCATGAGCAGCGTGGTGAAGAGGGCGCCGATCACCGGCGTCGGGATGCCCTTGGCCTTCGCGGGTTCGGGGCCCGGGCCGCCCTCTCCCCCTCCCGCGAAGAGCCCCCCCACCCCCGCCACGGGGGCCGAGAGGCCGCCCAGGAACGGCGGCGACGAGGACGGCGACGAAGACAAAGGAGGGCGCGGACGAGGGCGAGGGAGAGGACGAGGACGAGGACAAGGGAGAGGACGAGGACGAATTCGACGACGACGAGTAGGACGGCGAGGGCCTTGCCCATGCGGACCACGGACCCGAGAAGGTCGTCCAGTTCGCTGGGGCGGCCCGCCCAGATGTCCCTACTGCAGCTGGTGGTCGCCCCCTTCGACTTCTGGAGGAGCGCGACGCGGTCCTCCAGCCACTTGTCCTCGTACTTGAGCCCGTAACTCCTGGCCAGCGCGATGATCTCGTGCATCACGCTGCGCCACATGTCTTGGAGCTCGGGAACAGTCCCAATGATGTCCTGAGTGACAGCGGGGCCGCACGTCGCGCCGACTGCTGTGCTGGCGCAGATGAACGCAAACTTCTCCCAAATCTTTGGCATTGCCTCGCTCTCAAGGTGCCCCTCCATGCCCGGGCTCGAGCTAAAGATCCTCGCCACCGCCTGCGTCTTCGAACTGGGTGGACCACTGTACTCTCCGAACGTGATGTAGGGCGGGTCAGCAGCCCAATGGCGGATCATACCAGGCTCCTGGATCGCAGCAACGATGTTGCAACATCCGGCCAGAGCGTGCCCAACCCCCCAGCCCTTGACAATGTCTTGGATGTTATCAAATCCTTCGACGCCGTTCTGGAGAGGCAATATCAGCGTGTCGGCCCCGCACCACTTCCTGCACATCTGAAGGCACTTCTTGGCCTCCCAGGCCTTGCAGCACAGCACTATAACGTCGGCCACGAAATCCTCCTCCGTCTTTCGGCACTTCGGATCTGCCTCTGTGCCAATGTCCGCCTGGATGCTGTTTGTGTCGATGATGGCATCAAGCTGCTCTGGCGGTACAGTCGCGTCCCCGCAGATGCTTTTGACCTGCGGAGCGCAGACAACCGCAGCATCACCCCTCTGAAGGAAGCTCTCGCGGCAAGGCTGTGTCGCGTTTCCCAGGAACTGCAGGCGGAAAAACACGAGGCCGCGGAACCCTTGCAAGGGCGCCGACCGAACGCCTGAGCACACCAACATGAACGAATATGACCCCGAGGAAAAAACATGTTCGGGCGAAATCCAAACGAACCCCACGCCCATGCCAAATGGGTTGGCATATGTATGGTTGTTCGACTCAGCAGAAGTTCAGCCCACATTTGCCCCTCAAGAGGGGCCCGCACGCCGTGCTTCCTCAGCGCCGCAAGGGCCTGGTTGCGGACCATGAAGCTGACGCGCTGCCCCTGCTGCGCGAGCCGCGCACCGAAATTCGCTGGCCCAACGGGCCAGGGGCGTACTAAAATCTCTGGTGACTGGTTGAGAATTTTCTAGTTCGCGCACGCGGGGCCGCTTCTGGGGGTCCCCGGCCGGAAAGTACCCGGGCAAGGTCCTGGCAAGTCCGTCTCAGAGATGGCTTTGCTCCTGGGCGCTGCCTGCAGAGCCTCCCAGCAAGCCTCAAGAAGAGCCAAGATGCCCCGAAGAGGTCGCCAAGATAATTTCAGAGGGCTCCCAGACGCCACAAGATCGCTCCAAGACGCCCAGTATTGCCCCAAGACATCTCAAGAAGCATCCCAGACGCCCCGAAAAGCCTCCAGAAGCATTCCCAAGGAGGCATCAAGAAGTAAAACCCATCGATGTCATGTCATATCGCAATGATTTGTACATTCTCGCATTTTCAACTCGACGCTCCAAGACTGGTCAAGAGGCTCAAAATCTCGCCCCAAAACGCCCCGGGGCGCGACACAGCCCAAGCGGGCGCCACGAGGGCCCAAGAGGCCTCCAAGATCGTCCCAACACAGCCCCAGACAGCCCCAAGACAACCCGAAAGGCCTCCAATACGGCCCAAGAGGCCCCCAAGATGGCTCCAAGAGCGGGCCTTGACGGGGGACCCGAACAGACATTTCGAGATCTCGGCCCCGAAAGGCCCCAAGAGGCCAACAAGAGGCCTCCAAGAGGCCCCAGGAGATCCACCCCAAAAAGTCACGAGGCCCTCGAGAGGCCTCCAAAGAGACCCTGAGCAGCCTCCCAACGAGGGGTCTTTTCCACGATCAGTTTGGCCCCCAAATGCCACAAGAAGCCATCGAGAGGCCTCCTCCTCATCCTCATCCCCCCCTCTTCCTCCTTCTCGTCGTCGTCGTCCTCCTCCTCCTTCTCGCTCGCCACGAACACACAAACATATTGCACCATTGGTGCAATGTGGGCCGGCGGAATGAGCGAAGCGATTAAATAACCCCCGACGCCGCCGCACCCGAAGATCAGCCAGCGCATCCTCGGCACCTCGGCGGTGGGGAGCCTTCAACAAGTAAAGTTCTGACGGCGCAGATAGGGAGGAAAGGGAGGGGTGTGTAGCCCTCCCAAGCGGGGTCCGAGCATCTGGGGTCGGAGGGTCGCACCGCATCGCCCGTGCATCGGCGCGGTGTTGGCAATGTATCGACGACATTGGCGTGTAGAACATCAAGCTCCACTTCGAGCCGCACGCCCGATGAGTCTGCGGTGCGAGCCAGTCCTCTGGCCCACCTTACCTGACCCCGTTCGGGAGGTGCGGAAGATGCTACAAACAAGATACTACCGAAGGAACGCTGGAGGAGTAACGAAGCCCCGTTCTGGCCCCTGCAGGGGCCTGGGCGCACAAGGAGCGCCAGAGGAAACAACCATGGAGGGCCGTAAGGAATAACGACCCCCTTCCGAACCCGAACTGTTCCTCACTTCAGCGTCTCAACGGCAGGTCCTTTCATAGGGAGCAGAAAATCCACCATCACGATAAGCACCCTGACAAACGATGCCATCAAGTAAACGCACCAAAAAGAGTAATCGAACAGGGCAGTGATACTTTGTACACGCTCAGGGCCGTTTTGCAAACGCAAATTATCGGTGTCGGGTGGTTTTGTCCTTCCCTGACTCAACTTCGCGAGTCGCGCGGCGCGCAACGGAGAGCACGGTACATTGCCCGCTCTTGCGCGCAACTCCCCCTCCGAAGAGGAGGACAACTCTCCCTCCGAGCGTGAGGCACGACATGTCTTCGCCGCTCCAGCCCCTGCCCTGACTTCACGGAGAAGCAACGACTGCGCGTGGGTTCGCGGCAGGATCAGTCAGCATCGAATCGGGAAATATGCGAGGCGGGGATTCGGCGAGAATTCATCCATAACCACCGCCTGGGAGATCTATCGTCGGTAACCTCGGCACGTGGGGATATGGATAGGTTTGCCCCGCCCCCACCCTGGGCCCGAATCAATATCCATATCCACCGCCGGCAGAGATCCATATCCACCGCCTGCAGAGGTCTCCGAAGATCGATCCCCCAAGCGGTAGTTGTGGATAACATCCCCGTCTCGGACGATCGGATCACATCGGAATGTGCGTCGGCTCGGGCTGGCCGTCTCCGGAAAGTCGGAATCGAATCGGACTGGCCCCGCCAGGATGCACGACAATGCCATGCGAACATTAGCCAGCCGCCAGCCCCGGATCGCAGGATCGGACTGGATCGGACCAGATCGGGCAAGACGAAGTCCGAAATCGATACCAAATCGGGTCGATCGGATCGAAGTGGACCCGGCACAAGGGAAACTCGCCCCCCGCTCTTCGGCGCCTCCTCGGAGTCTTTGCCGCTGCTGTTGGTCATCGCTGCAGAAGCGCCGCTCCGCGCCCGCGCCGAGGCCCTCTGGACCGAACCCCCCAGGGACAAGCACGGGACACCAGGTTCGCCCGGCTACACGCAATAGTGACCCTGGGCAAGAGTGGCCTTCGGTTGTCGACTCTCGGGGGCTGTGGGGAGGCCAAACCCGAGCGCGCAAGACGCTGCTGCCGGGCGGGTGGCAATGGGGGGTGACCCAAATGGGGGGTGAAGGACAGGGCCCTCCGGTTCAGGCGAGAGGTCACTCTTGCGCGTAACCGACTCGCCCTGCAAGCTCGCCGACGACCTCCCGGGACCGGGCTCGGCGTGCGGGTATCCATCGGGGCCCGGGGGGGGGGACCTGCGCCCCCCACACCCTGAAGTACACCACCTACACACCAACAGCGGGGCATCTATGCCTTTACACCCACACCTGCACCTGTACCACCCATTCCCTACACGTATACACCCATACACCCATACCAACCACATACCTGACCACCAGCCTTGCCAGACTCATCCTGGGGCCCAGCTCAGCGTCTACGCCCTCATGGCCTGGGCAGGAAGCTACGTACGCCCCAACCGGCGCCGCCGATGAGAGGCCGGGCGCCTGGCAGACCTCCCGCGCCCTGTTTTTTTCCTGGCACAACGGCTCGATCATCCTCGGAACGTGCGCTCTTGAGGGAAGTCATAAGACGAACGCAGAATCGAGACAAAATCGCACCGGTACAATCGGAAATCTCTTGAGAAGCTGCAGTTTTAGAGGATGTAATTATCGGGCGCGGCGGCCGTATCAGAGCGTTCCAGATTGGGCGGCGCTTCACGGGGGGGGGGGGGGGGCGAAAAATGGTGGGGGCGGGCCCAAAAAAACCTCTTCAGGAGCTCGAACAGGCTCCTTTTCGGGAGCCCTTGCTGCCCCACCCATTTATCGCCCCCCATGTCTTCCGACCCAGACCCCCAACGTCATGATTTTTCCAAGACGTCGACCCCGAGAGGTCTCGACCCATTCCCCGGGACCGGTTTTTCAGCCTGAGTCGATGTTTGACAATCCCGAGGCCTGGCGAGGGCCCCTGAAGGCCGAAAATATAGAAAAACCTCCCGTCGTGTTTTTTTATGACTCGAAAGGGTCTGGGGATGCTGAGCGTTCCGGAAAGCTCTGCAACGGATTTAGAGGCCTCCTAGATGTAGTCCGAGTACATGTGGTCGGAGGATCGCGCCGCATCGCCAATGCATCGGCGATGCATCGCCGACGTCGGCGTGGAGAAAATCGGGCTCCGCATCGAGCTACATCGCCGATGTATCGGGGATGTGGCGCGATCCTCCGACCCCATCTGCTCGGACCCCATCTAAGAGGCCTAGACTCCCGCTGCTGGGCCCGCCCGGGCGGGGCCAGCGGCCGCTGCTAGGCAGGCGACTATCGCCCCTAAAGGAGCAGCGCCAGCGGCACCGCCCACAGCGAGCCCTGCTCAGCAGGTGCAGCGGAGAGCTCTGCAGCGGACTCGTCCCGAGGCTGGGCGCGCCCGGACCTCACCAGTGATCCTGGCCAGGCCCAACCCTGAGCCCAAGATCGGTGCATACGCCCTCCTGCCTTGGCCACGAAGGCATATGCACCGATCCTGGGGCCAAGGATGGGCCTGGCCAGGACCGGTGCATGTGCATAGTTCTCTTCGCCCGACAGTCCTAGGCGCGGGTGGGGCCCAGGACCGAGTCTCCTGGCTGGGCCCCTCGGCGCACGTGCGCCCTCCTGGCCTGGCCTGGGAGGCTCACGCGCCGACCCTGGGCCCGGGAGGGGCCCTGCCGTGATCGGCACACTTGCACGACTTGCCATCGCTCGGACGTTCCCTCCCCGTGCATCGTTCGACTTCGTGCGTGCATCTTTTCGCAACTCGATGGTCCTCGCCGAGAAATAGGGCACACGTCCGAGCGATGCCAACGATCCTGGGCCCGGGATGGACCCTGGCGGTGATCGGCGCGCTCGCACAGAGAGGAGCGGGCGTCGACGGCTGGCCCGGCCGTGGGAGACCTTGGGGGGGCGGCGCCCGGCAGCGCGCACCCGAAAGAAAAAACCAAAAGACTCTCGAGCAGGCGGGCGGGGAGTCGGCGCGCCGCGGGGGCCCCGAGCGCAGGGCAGCTCAGGCCAAGGCGGCGATCCTGCTCGGCCGCCTCCCCCTCGGACCGGCAGCAGCCTCGCCCTCCACCGCGTCCGCTGGGAAGAGCTGCGCAGGGAGATTCCAGAAATGGCCCCAGACGGGGCCCCAGGAGTGCCCTGGAAAGCCCCCAAGACCGACGCTGTCCCCTCCTTTCGGCGGAAAGCGTTTCCTTGAGCAGTCCGTTCAGGCAAGAGCCCCGTCTTGAAAACGATCTGCCCCCATCTTTCTAGAAATGACAATCGGAGATTACATGACGGCTGGAAGAGAACTATCCAGCGAGGGTTCCGCTTTGAGAAAGAAACGCCCTTCGTCAGAGTTCTACTGCTACAGAATTAATCGCAAGATCCTGGATGTGAAACTCTAGGACGTATCAACAAAACTCCATTATGCACAGGAGTAGCCATGGATTCTGAAAGGCGACTTGCCCAACGGCCAAAAAGACGAAGGCCCCATCCCCGTTGACCATTACGCAAACAGTGTACTGGCAAACGGCGTCGCACATGAGTGACAACGGCCACCACCTGCCAGAATCATGGATCAGTGCGAGAAGTGTCGTCGCGTCACTACGTCAGTTGAGTGTTGCCCACAAGTCGCGTGGGCGGGATGTGCTCGAGCATTTTTTATAGATGTATATTTATATATATATATATATATATATATATATATATATATATATATGAGCAATGCCCCACACTTCTCACTCGGTGCAGTCTGCGACTACTGGCGAAAAGCGCAAGAGACGAGATAACACGTGTGGAATAACCTGACATGGCAGATTCCCGCCTCCACCGTGTCGACGCCTCAATGTGATCGCGGGTGCAATGTAAACTCAAATTCGCGCGTGCGTAGCCCACACTGGCACATAATGGTGGGACTCGCACTGGTGCCCAACACAAGTGGGGAGGAGGGCGAAGGACGAAGAGAAGGAAGAGGGACAAGAAAGGCTAGAGACTGGAACACAGGCCCGCCATACATCGCGCGATGCGGTAATCAAACACTGGGTCAAACTTGACGTGTAAGGGAAGAGGCGGCAGGAACGAAGGAGGGCAGAAGCGGCGGCAGCAGCGGCAGCAGAGACGGCGGAGGAACGCGGGAGCACGGAAGAAAGGAGGCGTCTGGAATAAAAGACCTCGCATGTACCCATCGAGGGTTCCCTGGCCACGAGGCGCGACAAGGAATCGCGTGCCTCGCCGATCGACGCTGCAATGGAGCAGTGCGGGCTGGCCGGTTTCCGGCCACCTGCCCCGTACGAGAGTCAGGGGTGAGAAGACAACAAGCAACCGGTGGTGAGACTGGAGGCCCTCTGCCTCGAATGCCCAATCCCCCGCAGGGGGGCCACAAGCCCGAGAAAGCAGAGGACCCAAACCCCGAACGACGACGACGACGACGACGACGACGACGACGACGACGACGACGACGACGAGCGGGGGGGGCACGGAGGAAGGAAGCCAGGAAGGGGGGGAAGGAGCAGGAACAGGAGGGGGAAGAGGGAAGGGAGAAAAGAAGGGAAAGGGGCGGTCCCTTGCCTCCCAAAGCGCGGGGCCCCCGGGGAGGGGCAAGCAGCTGGCGCCAGCTGGCTGCCAGCCAACACCGGGCAACAAATCGTGCCCCCCCTACACTGACACAAGCAATGGCGACGCAGCTGCTGGCCATGGCCCCGAAAACCGGAAGTGGCCCCGGACTCGGGCAACACCTACTACTACAACTACTCATGGACAAACAGAAGAGCACCACTGGAATTACCCAAATATAAAAAGCAGCACTTGAGCACTTGAGCCAAGTGGCAGACATTCGGGCGGTTATAACGATAAGAATTCACATGCAAAACGTATCGGCGTTGCGCTGGGGGGCAAGAGCAGGCGGGACAGAAGCAACAACATACCCAAGCAGTGGTGGGCGAAGCCTGCAGCTACGGGAGGCCCGCCCTGGCGGCGCTCAGAATCTGCATGCCCGCTGGATGCCCGCGCACTCCTTCATGGGCACGCTGGAGAAGTAAGTCCTCCAGTCGACCGTGCATCGGGTGGCCGCGCCGCAGCATGCGCAGCGCCGCGTACAAGGCGTACCTGGCGATCGCCCAGTCCTGGCGGTGGCGCGGCGTAGACTGCGCGAGCCCACTCAACCTCAGCAGCCTATCGACTGGGGCAGCCTCCGGAAGCCGCAACTTCTGACAGGTAATTTTGCGGAAAACCGGGCAAGTCGCGCAGTGTTCGACGCTGTCTTCGCCCCGACCACAATGAAGAAGGCGCGCCGCTGAGCGCCGCCTTGTAGCCCACCCTCTGCACAGGGTACGAAGCGTGGCCGCGAAGACGCGCGGCGTGGCGTGCGTGGACAGATCCTGCAGGACCTCCACGGCTCGGTTCACTCGCCGGCCAGTCAGCAAAGACACAGCCCAAGAGTCGAGGCGACGACGTAAGTGACGATATGCTGCCTCGGCGCGGTCTGGCCGGAGCGCCTGATAGCAGGCGCGCTGCCACTGCCGCCGGGCCATCTCAAAATCGGCAAGTACACGGGGCCCACTGGCCATAGCTAGATTGGGGCCACCCGCAGCACGTTGAACGTGGCCCTCCGCTCGCCCTAAGATGAACAGAAAGCTCGAGTCGAACCAGTGGGCCCAAACGGCGGCTCGCCAGTCTGGGGGCTCGCATTCTTGCCGCAAACGAAGGTCCCGCGCGCGTGCTGCCACTCGGAGCCCTCCTGCTGGAAGAGCTTCCCAATTGAACACCCTGCTTTTCGCGGCGTCGGCCCATGCCTGGAAGTCTACGAAGTCGCGGGCGCAGCGCGTGCACTGCAGCTGCGCGAGGCCCCGCAATGCGTCTGGGTGTAACCACCCGCGAGGGCCAGGCAGCAGATGGGCGAAAGCCCTTCGTTCGTGGTCCTCCCACGTGTCCGGGGCGTCATCAAGCTGCGCGAGAAACGACACCACGGGGGGTATGCACGTGCTGCACGCCGCCAAAGACAGGGCCATGCCGCCCCCAATGGTCCTCCAGATTGCTGCTCGCCCATCGTATTTGCGTAGCGCCTTAGCCCGATATTTGGCCTGTCGCTCGGGCCCGATGACGAAGCCGAGGTGCGCCGCCGAGAAGGATATGCTGAAATCCGACCAAGCAGGAGCGCGGGGACATAATCGAGCGCGCTCCCCCTCTACATCCACGGGATACAACGGGATCCATTGAGATTTCCCGCGGCGCAGCTTCGAGCCGGAGACGCGGGCATGCTCGTCGAGCATCGGATGCAGAACCTGCGATGCATATGCACTATTGGGGGGGACAACGGCGAGGTCGCCAGCATATGCTCGCACCAGTGCCCCTGGCAGGGCGCGGGCGACTCGCCGAAACAAGATGTCGTCGGCCACGGCGAACAATTGCGGTGATAGCGGGCACCCTTGCCGGATGCCCGAGTCCATCCTGAAACCGCTGAACCTGGCGCCGCCGACGGAAATGATGCACGTCGTGTCGTGGTACAAAGCGCGGATGAAATGCAACGGCCAGGTTGGCCGGTCCAGCGATTCGAACAATTTGTGCATGAACTCCCTGCTGACGCTGGGGAACGCCGCCGCGAAGTCGAAGAGCACGGCCGAGGCGCGCTCTTCGGAGAGCGCGGCAGCCTGCATGCCCTCATCCATGTCCACGAGATTCGACAGCATACTGCGCCCACCTATGAAGCCTCGTTGCATGTCTGAGATTTCCGGGGGCGAAGTGCGTCTCCACTCTGAGCCGAACAGCGCCTGCGAGTAGCCCGTTGTCGGTGTTCGTGATGCTGAGTGGCCGGGTGTTCTCTGGCATGTAAACTGGATTCCCCGCTGCGTCTGCGCCGTCTGCTTTCTTAGGTAAAAACACCATGAGGCTCTGGTTGAAGTTCTGGCACTCCTGCTGGAGGGTGGCGAGGCCACTGGGGCCCCCCAAAGCGCGGAAAGATTTGCGCGGCACGTCCGCGGCCAGCTCCTCGATAGCGCGCCATGCGCTGAATGGGGTGCCATCCGGGCCCGGGGCCGACTGCGACGTCTGCCGAATCGCCCTGGGTATGTCGCCCCTGGCCAGCTCCCAATTGGGGGGGCGGCGGTCTCGCGCAGCAGCCACTTGATCGACGCGGCCCTCCCGAATCCATCGCTGCCGAGAGGTCTGGCAGGTGGGGCGAGCTCGAAAATGCTGTTCCCAGTGCGTCCTTAGAGCCCCAGCCATGCCCTCCGGGTTATTGTGCACCACGCCGTCGGTAGTCCGCACAGCCTGCAGCGCCGCTCCGCGCCCAGGCGCAAGACGCTGCAGGAGCCGCACGTTCTTCTGGCGACGAGCGGCCGCAGCAGAGGCTGAGAGGGCAGGCAGGCCCCGACGGGGCTTGCCCACCTCATCCAGCGCACGGTCCCTGGAAAGGTCCGTCGCGTGAGCTTGCACCCTGCGAAAACAGCTCACCCCTCCTCCAAGACTCTCGTGCGGGTTTCTCACGAGGCTGGCGAAAAGTGGGTACGCAGTGAGGCACTCGTTGATGCGTCCGACACGTCGGTGCTCCAGCGCACGCGAGAACTTCATTGTGATCCCCGCCCTGTCTTCGAGGGACAGTGGCCCGTGGGTTCCTGCCAACGAGTGCTCGAGGTGTCGCGCTGCATCTTTCATGGCGAACTTTAGTAATGGTAACATCCCGATGTCCGACAAATTTGAATTGTCTTGCTCCAGCCGCTGGACGGCCACTCCCGCTTTTGAACGACTTGCTCAGACATTGGCCGCTGATCTTCCGGAAGGAATTGCGATCGCCGCCGGGATGCAGCCACCGCCCGATGAGCGGACAAATGCGGCACCCATTCCAAGGCCGCCCGTTGAGTACGTCTGTCGAGCTGGTCAGCAGCATGCTGATTAGAGTAAATGCGATCCAGTCGAGACCGCGCCTGCGCAGAGGCATGCGTCACCTCTGGCTGAAAAAACTCGTGCATTTGAAACGGGTCGAGTAGCATGCGCTTTCATTGGGTTTCCTCGGAACGGTTTGGGTTCCCCGCGCTGGCGGCCGTAGTCAAGCAGTGCCGGTCCTCCACACGAGTCGCCCAAGTGAAGTCCCCTGCCAGGAGCGTCAGGGAGACATCGGCTGGAAGAAAAACATCAGCGAGCCGCCGACGGACAACTTCTCTGAGGCTCCG